GGCCTTGGTTAAAGCATCATCATTAAAGTTACTGTGAGGAGCTTTTAACTTGTGAATCAGTCTCAAATTAGCACTGATGCCTCTATATGAACTTCATAAGTAAACGAGACCATCGTCATCATCTATATACGTAGTATATTCTTAATGTGGCGACCCAATGCTGAACAGGCTTCGCAGTCTGAAGCTCCGGCGGGAGGAGAGCTCAGCTCCTGGAAGCAGCTGGGAGCTAACACTGACACCACGCTGCTGGAGACCCAGGTTGTATTACTGCGGTCGCTAGAGAGAAGGGAGGCGCAGGAGAACCAGAACCAGGACTGAGCGGGGCCGACTGCCAGACCCCTGCTGCAGTAAAACGAGGTTTTCTAAAGGGAGTCTGGTGAAAATTCCTGAAAATAACTTCAAAACAAAACAATTTTAAGGTAATTATTTGTTGTCTCAACACTCAAATGTATAATATAGTTAAATCAAAATCACAAAATGTATATCTATTGGAATGGTGGAGAGTGGTAAGACTAAAAATATAATGCTGTGATGGACTGTATGTAAATGTAAATCAAGTTTTTCAAGTTGCGCCTGCCTTCACTGAAAATGTCATCTAACTTCCCGAGCTGTGAAAATAATAGATCTTTGTTCGTGTCACTTGAAGGGTTGATGACATTGAACAACAGCGACATACAGTCTGGGTCTGGGTCTGTCTGCGGCGGGACGGGTCGTTACCGCTGGAGTCTGAGCTGAAGGGGTTTCTGGTGAACCTCCATGATTTCAGCATTAAGAATAACTATATACAAATAACCAGTCTTCTCTCCGATGGTCTCGTTTACTGAGGTCATGTAGAGGCATCCGTATTAAACTGAGACTGTTTTGTTACTAGTTACTAAAGTTCCTCACAGTAACTTTAAGTGCGGAAGTTAAGCGACAGTCCCTTCAGGGTGTCACACAAAACAACGAACAGCGGCCTCCTGGATGAAAAGTCTGGTGTTTTTAGACCCACTCATCCTCACTACGCTGACTCTACAACCAGTATGAGACACGTCCACTCCACCATGTGGGGAGGGGGGCACTACATTTGACAGCGTGTGACTTTATTCTCCTCTTGTGTTATTCCACATTTATCATCTGTAACATTCTGTATGATGAATCTTGAAATGAGTTATTTGTGCCTTTTTTGTATTTCAATATACCCAATATTGTCATTGTTTTTCTCGAAAAGGTGAGTTCATGACTGTTGTCTTTGTCTAATCTGTATCAACGGCAGCCAAAGTAGGTCGTTTTGGTTTGTTTTTGGCCTTTTCCCTATCTGAACCAACATTGAACAGATTGTAATAGTCTTTGGGGAAAAATGTAAATTTAGGCTTTAAAAATACAACTGACTGGTCTGCTTTGTTATTTACGGAGCAGTGAAATGTGTATTCTGGACAAACGGGAGGAAATATTGCCCTGAGAAGAGAGCAGGGCAGGTTAGGCTGTGACCAAACAGGCCATGTGCCCTGAAGCGTCGTCGTAACGCGGGAGATAAGGGGGTCACCCTCCATCTCCTCTCCTTTCTTTCCTCCCTCACTTTAGTCACAGCACACCGCCATCAATGACCGGCCTCTGCCCTCCTGTCGGCTGTAGTGTCACTGACTCCTCCCCTTTGTTCTTGTCTCTTATCCTGGGTAGACTGTATGTGTGTGTGTGTGTGTGAGGGGTGGGATTGGAGATTTGTGGGGAGCAGTATAAAACACACACACACACACACATAGTACACATTGGCATTACGATCACCCACAGCTGTTTGTGTCCTGTCTTGGGAGCCGGAGAGGGATCAAGAGGAGGAGAGAGGAAGACAGGCTTCACCACAGATCTGTCATCTTCAGACGGAACGTCACTGATCCCTGACCTGTACTGTTCTGCACCGGACTCTAGTAGTGAGATTACTTTATGGAAGTATTTGTAAGTCACTGTGAAACTTTTCAATGTTGTACTAAGCAACGTATTTACTGAACACATTACTTTGACGTAAAAAGTTTCAATAATTGAATTAGCGTGTTACAGCAAACACCTCAGAGACCTGGAGGAGACTTCAAGAGAGTACAACCCCATCATACTGATAGAATCATTAATCCGTGATGATACATTCCCAAAAGATAGCATCGTTCTCTTATCTCAAATGATGTTCAAAATGTCAAATATATGCTTGAGCCCGAGCGCCCCCTTTTTTGGGGGCTGTGGAGAAAGTTTAGCATATACCATCGAAAAAAATGCACTTATCACAAACGAATACAATGATGTTGCACATCAGATTAAACAGCAGAACCTGGGCTACAATAAATGTACGCCGTTTTTACATGCTCCAAACACAACTCAAACAACAACTAAATTAATCACCAAATATTAAAATCTATATACCACCACCAAGTCAACCCACTCGCCACATTTCTGGCTCTACCGCTGTGGTATTTTATGCAATACGCACACACGACATCTCAAAAGATTCCGGACATATACCTCAAAGCCAGCTACAACAAAGCATCAGCGAGATATGAGCCAAAGAACACCAACAACAGAAATCGCGTCATCAAACGATAGTTGTAAAATTTCTTACCTTTGCTGTTTTTCATCGATATGTTTCCGGTAATTCCATATAGAAATACGTTAGACCTACATCCTGTGTTACACTAAAATCATTCCGGGCGTTTCTAGGTGGCTGTGGGTCCAAGCAGGAAGTCTGAGAATCGCCTTGCGTCATAGCAACGTCTCACAGGACGGCGCCCTGCTGATTCTGATTGGCTAACAGTGCTGTTAATCTCATTTTGGTCGGTATAGCTAAATTCTATTAGCTCTAACACTTCAAATGAGGTGTCAATCACTGAAATCGACCAATGGGTTGCTGAGCTAGAGCCCTGCGTACTCACAGGGGGCTGACATCAAGAAAAACTCCAGTACGCAGAGAGACACAGAGAGGGTTCAGAGAGGATTCTGACTTTCAAAATAAAGCTAAAACTGCTGTATTTGGATGTATTGAACACCATTAGTGATATACAAGTGAAATATATAGTTTGGTACATGAGAAAATTCAAATGGCACAGGTGGTGCCAAACTGACCATTTTGGAGACCTCGCCTGAACTCTCTGTACTAAAACCTCTCTAATTTTGTTCTGCTTCACTTTATCAAAGTCACACTTTGCAGAGAGACTGTTCACATATTGTGATATGATTAGGGAGAGGTTTAGGCCTGCAGCTGCATCATTCCAAATAAATAATAATCCTGTAAATGCTTTACTTTTTAGGTGAACCTGAAACCTTTCAATTTGTGCTGTGTCCCATCTTCATTTACTCTTAACCAGTAACATATATACTGATATTTACACATCTGAACAAATCTCACAAGGGGTCCCTTTATTATAACACCACAATTATTCAAATATACCTTGTGGTTGCAGAGATATACTCTTCTTAGTATGGGTATGCAATTTTCGAGCAGAGGCCTAAAAAATAGGTAAGTTTTGAATTAAAGTTCTCTGCCCTCGCTGCTGCACAAAGCGCACGTGTTGAGAAGAAGACCTTCACTTTAATTGTATTAATGAAATATTCATTAAGACTGTAAAAGCCATAATGAAACGGCTGACAAAAACCATCATCCTTATTTATTGCCCAAAATAGCAAATTACAAGTCCTCACAGTGGACCTCTTGTTGGCTCGAAAGCGATGACTGAAATTGTGAAGGCAATTAAAGGCAGGGTTGGTCATTGAACCAACTGAACAACCCCCATCCCAGCGTTGACAACTCTTTTCCAATGACAGTATAGCAACACTAGTTCAAAAAGTTGCTACATCTCGCAAAAGAAGTTGCCAAGTTGGCGAAAACTGACAGCCCGACCCCCTTCAGGCCTCCATTCAAAGCCCCCCCCACACACACAAATGATCATCATGAACATAAACAACATGACTGTTACTCGCAGCTGTTCAGCTAGCAGCTTGTGGAAGACTCAGGTGACGAACAATGAGTGGAAGGGCAGGAAAACGCACAGGTGACCAGGAAGGTGGACAAGCAGGTGGCCCGTCCAATCAGCACGGTCCGGCTGAAGGAAATTATTATTATTATTATTATTAAGTCCTGCCTCAGCCACAGAAACTGGATTTTTTTTTTCATTGATGTCAGGACATAATGAGAATATTTAAAAAAATGTTTTTGAAGTAGATCACCAACATTTCAATAATAATATTATAGTAAATAATGGTTAAAGAAAAGGAACTGTTGAGCACACCATTGAACATCATTAAAAATCGTGCATTTGCAAAATGTACGTCCTGATGACCTGTGAGTCCGTCCTATAGGCTGCTTTTGTTTTGTAGCATTTTGCCGAACGTTCTCATTTAAACTCATGATTCTTCCTTTATGAAGCTCATGCACCATTTGAGAAACTAAATCCTCATCCCATCCGTAAAGATGACTTCAATTGAGTTGAGATATGAACGTTGTTGAGGGCTCAACCGGTAACACAACAAGTGTTTATCCATCCCGGGACAACAGGTGTTGTTTCAAGGTCTTTTCTTTAAGTGGACACTGAAGAGCGACAAATGTGTCTCAGATAC